TGACATCAAATAAAGAAATTTTCCCACAACACCCATATTCCGTTAAATGTTGATATAAATGGTTATATGCGCAGCTTTAGTGTTGGAAAAAAAATTACATGTGACATTTATGGGAAGATGTTGGACGAATATGAGGAGACCCTAATTGTTTTCGTCGGTATTGAAAACAATTGTGATTCATCGATGTACTTTGGTGGTAGTGGTAAATTGTACAAAGCTGAACATATGGATTGAGTTCTGCTGGTAGTTGTGTATAATTATAAAGGTACAGGCATGAAAAGCTCTAAAGTGTTTAATGATTGCGTACACTTTTATACTTTATTTACTGCTCGATATGAAAACATGCTTTGGAAACTTGCACTTTTGCTTTTAATCAAATAAATTGCAGAATTGGGTCACAATCCGTGATTATTAGAATGTTTTTCGAACCCTGCCATTCTTTTGTGCCTTTGTCATTTGATAGAATAGTATGTATATTTTTAATTATGTAATTTTATTGTATTGTAATAGATGTTATCGGGTCTTCGTATGGGCATCATTGCTAGAAAATTAAGTTGGCTCTAGATCATACTTGGGACCAGAAACCACCATAAAATCGGTGAATACTAATACATCATTATTTGCTTTTTTACCGCTTCCTAATGAATTATTTACATATTATTTATCATTTTCTACTTTATTTGACCGATTTCCATGCCCAACTCAATTTTCTTCTTAGTAACACTTATATAAGAACAAGTATCAATTAATGTTAACAGTGTTATCCACGGCTTTGCAAATCGTAAATCCCATCTTTTTATGCCAAAAAATGAATATCATAAATCTCTCAATATAGGTCCAGCCAGGGCATCAAATCCCCCATACACTATAGATTGTTAAATATGTCAGGTATCATCATTTACCATCACCACCATTGTTGTGTAACTGCTTAAAAAATCATCAGTATTGATTTAGTTATTATTATATACATAATAAGATATTTGTGTTGTATAATGATCCCACTAGCAAAAAACGTGATTTTGTTCTAATTGAAATGTTATTTTATTTCTTATTATAAAGTATTTGAAAAACTAAAAGACTTTATTTTCCCATACGAGAACAAGAATATCTTCACGCTTTCGTGTCTATTTTTTTTTGGGGGGGAAGTCATGTTTGATCGCGTACGTTGAAAATAAATTAACATACATTAAATAAAAATGTTATCTTCTTTTTCTTGGGATTGCCTTTTTTCAGTTTCATTGTTTGTTTATTTATTTGTTTAGTAAGATTAATGGAAGATTTTGATTTTTTTTAGTGAATGAAAAGAAAAACAAAGACTTGTTGATCTATAAAATCAATTTTTTCGAACAATTAACAGAATTAAAATTTATTTGTTTATCTATCAAATTTAATACATAACAACCTTTCTTGCACTAAAGGGACTTAATGTTGATGACACGATCAAGCAATGTAGTTAGAATTGGACGTGAACTTTATTATTCTTGCAGATTTTGAACAAGGAGCGTTTGGTAAAAGGAAAAATACTATTGGTTTTTCAAAACTAGCACATCCATTTAATTTACTACATAATGGTTATGATTTGAATGACAAAGATAAATCAATAGATATAACATCTGAGAATATTAGTAATTTGTATGATCCTCTCCTTGGATATCATTTCACTCAACATCAATTGCCACTACAATCACGATGTAGAGGGATATGAATTACAGACTGCTAAACAATATCTTGAATGAAGTAAAGTAAAATCACATATTGAATTTGCCAATTGTTCGTTAGTAAAAATTGAGAATTGTCCTAAATCACCATCATCATATTCTAATGACTGAAGCCTCTTTTTGAATTGGGTTAAAAGGCATAAAATTAAATATGCAAATATATTGTTTGGTCAGATTAGGTGAAATCTTTTATGTTGATTGATTTGATTAATTACTAATATGTTATGTTTCATTTATTTCAAAATAATTAAATAATTAAATATCTTTTTTTTTTATTTTAATATTTTTTGACTCTTACAACACTTCTTCTATCACTATCGTTATTCCTATTTCTACTATCATCATAACTTTTTCTTCGATTTCTACTATTGCCGCTTCCACTCCTTCTCCTCCTCCTCTTAACACCTCTGCTGTCGTATCTATTGTTATTCCTTCTTCTCCTGCCTCTATTACTACTACTACTACTACTACTACTACTTCTAATTCTACTACTACTACTACTATTAATACTACTACTCCTACTTCTACTACTACTTCTTCTTCTACTAATGCTACTGCTTCTTCTACTAATGCTACTACTTCTTCTACTAATGCTACTTCTTCTACTACTAATGCTACTTCTTCTACTAATGCTACTTCTCCTACTAATGCTACTTCTACTAATGCTACTTCTTCTACTACTACTACTTCTACTACTACTACTACTTTCACTTCTGCTCCTCCTTCTACTCCTTCTACTTTTACCACTTCTTTTATTACTTTTAATCCTATTATCTCTACTTCTACTTCTACTTCTTCTATCACTATTATTATTGTCTGTAGCTGACATTCACCATCTTTATTGACACTCTGAATCAAAAGGCGAGGATATTTTTTTATTTTAATAATATATAGTCAAACAAAATTAGATTTTATGAAATAAGATCGACAAAATTCGGCAAAGTTGTTTTGCGAAAATTGCAGAACTCAGTATTAGAATGTCCAAACGTTAAGCCATACTACTTAAATAAGTGATTTAAATACCTTGGACCTGACCTAAATGGAAGTGGCTGGAATATTCGCAGAAAAAACACTTGCGTGAAGACAATGTTTTTGTTGCTGAGATTATTATTTGTTGTTCTACTGCTGCTGCTGCTATTGTTATTATTGCCGTTACTATTACTATTATATTATTATTATTCGCACTAATACTATTATTACTATTATAATTATTAAGTATCTGGATATCCGTTTTAATATACGAAGACTGAAACAAACCAAGAAAAAGGACGACATTTTCAATGACGGCTAAACAATAACTTAGAATAATGTGGTACTGGTCATACTAGTCTCCACGCTTATTTTATTTTTTTGTTCAGAGCATTTAGAAACCCTGGGTGAGCGGTGCTCTTTAAAATTTATATTTTTTTTTGTGGCATTTTGAGCCCTAGGGTAAACGATGTCTACATTAAAATTATTAAAATTATATTTTTTTTAAAAACTTTTTTTTTATTTTATTTCACCAATAAAAAGATGAATTGATTATTGAAACAAACTATATAGTAATTGTCATATTTATACGACTAACTAGTGTTGTTGCTTTATTATCATTCAGTAATGCATAAAAAATACATACAGATTATCTGGCAAAAATTCTGCAGTAAAGATTAAATTTTCTCTTGTTAAATTGGCTGTTAGTTAATACACCAAAAAGTAATTCTGTTTCACGTATTGTACGAAAATCAGTTTAATTTGTGGTGTTCTATCATCCAAAATCATATATATTTATATTCGTATTGTCTATTTTCAATTATGTAAAAGCAAATTTTTTTAAATAATGTATTTCGTTAATAGTTTCATGTACCAGACTTCACAACTAAGGAAACAGAAAAGGCTGGTGTACTATCTTTATTGAGAATACATATTAATTAAAATCATATAGTTTAAGATTGTAATGGGCGTATAGAAAACAAAAATTATCAAGTATACATACATCTTTTTCTTCCTCACCTTTAATTGAAACAGTCCAGTTTTTGACTTTGTAACTGTAATTGGAGAAATTGCAGCACTAACAGCATATTTACGATTTATCGACAAAATGGTAATAGGAGAGACAATATTTTTTATTGCTTGATGATAATTTACAACATGCACGAAACATAATTTTTGAAATCGACAATTATATTTTGGCTTTAACTGTAAAAAAATTAATAGCCGATTTTATGGCTTTGTGTTTTATAGATTCACTGAAAGCAAAAAATATATAATAAATCTAGGAGAAAAATATTCTCTAGTATTTAAAGAAACAGACGTTGTCTTTCCAGTGAATTTGTTGTCTTTGGTGATCAAGGTTTCCAATTAAGGTTACTATATACATGGATTATTGTGATGCGACACATTACTCAAACATCACAGGTCAAGTTTGGAATTGGTGTATAAATCTAAATTGATCTCAAGCATTCACTATAACATTGTGTGTACAATGAATTTGAACATAAGATATTGTTGAATGGTATTGAAGAATGATTTGGGTTTTTTCTTAAGAGAAAATGGCAAATAACTGGATTAATAAGAGTATTGATGTTATAACTAACCATATTACACCATTATTATATTACTGCTGATAGCAGTAGAATGTATAGTTGAAGTTAGAGTTTGGAAATTGTTATATTTGCAATCATCAGATTCTTCTGAATTGAAAAGTTGGAAACTTTCGACTACATTAACCCATATTGAAGTGGAATTCTGTCATATGTGATAACATATCTAACAATGCAATTGATCAAAAAAGTATCAGCCAAGATTCAGCTATCAAGTTTTGGCGTTACTCGGTAAGAAATAGATAGTAGGCTCACTGAAAATCAACCAAACGAATAAACATTCATATATGCTGAATACCAAAGTTAGTAATGGATCAGGTCATCGAAGCTGATGTATTTTGGTCTGGTCTATGGAATTAATAAAATATTAAATATGGTTAATATGATGTTTCAATAGATTCAGCAGATTGGTCAATGGACCGGCCAATTGCCAACCTTGTTGAATACCATACTAACTTTTGCGTAGTAATTGCTTGCTGATCTCTGGGCCAAAATTAATAGCTAAATTTTTTTGACCAGCATCAAATCAGATGTACGTACACTATTTTTAGTTTCATTAGGTTGTTATATGTAAAAAAGAAATGTCAACGATTTAAAGGCTGTGCAGCTTCCTCGTCTGCCCTTTTACCACTGACAACTTCATCTTAATACATATATTGCTGTACAAGATGTCTACAATTGTTTTTCTGGTTAAATAAAATAATTAAATCCATTGGAAGAAATCTTTCAAAGAAAGAAGTTACGTGGGCATAATATATCCTTTGTTGAACTATAGATTACGTTTTCCATTATAGCAATGCCAGATTATCTTATTGATGAAGTAAGCAAGATACAAATCACAAAGATCATTTAGGCAAACTAATATAAAAAGTCATCAATAACATTTTACATAGTTTTGTATGATAAATAAACATGTTAATTTCGATATAACAAAAATTTTATTTTAAACAACTTATATATATATATATATATATTGAAAAATCATCGTTTTTTTTATTATGTAATTAATTGAACAATACCGCCAACTTTTTTTATTTTTTCTTCTGCGCGTCTAGAAACATAACGTGCTTTAATAATAACTGGTTGATCAGGTAAACGACCTTTACCTAAAACTTTACCGTATCCCTATTTGTTAATTAATATTAGTATAATTAAATATACGTGCACAACAAATATACACAAATAAACTTACTGCTCTCAGAGTATCAATCACAGGTACAATATTACTATCCTTCTTAGTAGCGTAAATTTTTCTTGTTTGTTCTGACACCAAAGTCCATAATTTATCCAAGTTGACAGTTGGACAATAGGATTGATTACGAGTCATATG